ACTAGACGTTTACAAGCTTTATATCAACAATAACTACTTTTGTGATCGTTCTTATAAGAGTGGTCGTTAATAGCTATCAATTATCTGCGGTCAAGGTTTATTTATATTTAGTGGTATATCTCTAATCATCGTTCACGCCAGTAATTCTCTCATCAATTGGTCTATTGGGGTCAACGCATTGAGGTTTTATTAGTAAATTGGCTTTGGTCTGCTGTGTCGGTATTTACTTTATACCATACGCTTGATGTGTATTTTATTATGTTTGAAACATGTTATATAAATTACTGATTGTACCAGTATATTTCTTTTTAAAATGATATCAACTTATATCCGGAGTTTTTGGACATATTGTGTCAAACTTCCTTTTTGTGTATTGATTAACTGTTATTCATTTACCAATTGAATGCTGTGCTATTATTTGATCTTAATGTTGTCAGCAATCTTATACTTTTTTTGTTGAGTCACATTTTCTAGCCAATTAATTTATAAATTTGCCTGATTTTTTTTCTTTCAATTGTTTCTTATATTTATCAAAATTATGTTTACATTTGATGCTTGTGTATTCTGTTCTTTAATAGTTTTCAAACACTATTAGTGTTACAGACACTATTTAAATTTATAAACAATTAGTTTCCTTACGGCACAATTATACGATATCCCAGAGTTTGTTTTTCCAATTGTGATTTCCGTGATACAGGGTTGCGCTGCTTACAAGAAAGCTATTAACAAGGGGTTCCAGTGGTAAAATTGAATTCATCCATAAACAAATTTTCCAAACGCCATCAAAAGTTGATTGACCCCTTTGGATTGTCGGTTTCAAAGATGACGGCTGATATTTTTTTTGTCGGTTTAATTTGCTTAATCGTTAGTTTTTATTATTAACGATGTTGTTTAGAATGTTGGTCTTTTCGTCGTTTTTTTTTCCAGTTTTTTTCGTCTAATCAATTTGAATATATCTTTATTTTGATTTATTTTAATAGGGTCCGGGTTGTTCTTATTTTTTTCCTTTTAATATTCAACGTCTGTGTTGTTTATGCTGGTAACAGCCTTGTATATACTTTGTAATGAAAAAAACAAAACAACGCGTTTCAATTTTAAAATTTCATAATCGGTCAAGTTTAAGTTTAAAAAAATATCATACAATAGAGAATGGAAACGGAGAATGTGTCAAAGAGACAAAACCCGACCAAAGAGCAAAAACGTCCAAGGCCATTAATAGGTCTTCAACGCAGCGTAAAAATCCCGCCCCGGAGGTGGTCTTCAGCCGTTGTGTTTTCAATTCTGTTTTCAATGAAAAAAAATGAAAACAACACTTTATAAATTTCATGCGTCCGAAGCGCTATTGTTGTTTGTCTTATGGTAGTTTTTTTTGTTTTTTGCAGTGGCGTCATATTTTTATCGACTTATTAGTTTGAATATCCCTTTGGTATCTTTCTCCTATCTTCTAAATGAAAACAGGACTGGCCCTAATGCCGATTAACGGTACAGCCTACCATAAATACAGGTCCAACATTTAAGATGATTCGTTTCAGAAACAATGATTAATTTACATTTCTGTCATTTATGTATGTAGAAAGATGGAAAATTTGTTTTGATGTATTTTTAAGGTCATCGAAACGGAAGCTTGTTTATTTTGTTATTGATGAGGGAAACACCTAATATATACTGCGCATTTAGATCTTAAAACGGAATCTTATCGAAAATTAGATTACTTTATCTTACGGAAATCATCTGTTATATATTTGTGTGTGCTGTTACCTTCATTGTCGACAAATTAAAGTACATATTAAGTAATAAAGCGTCTTCTTACATATTTTTTTCAATACATTTACTCTTCATGTTTTTTCAACCTAAATTGTTAATAGTAATAAATTTGACTAAAATACAAATAGTAGAATTTGTTTGCGATCAAAATTAACAAAACAAATTAAATGTCAACAGTTTGTAGAGTTTGAGTGTATTCGACATGTTGAAACAAAAGGGCCTTACTAAAATAGCGAATGGTCTGAGACGTATTAATGCGTTTATGGCTAACTGGATATTAAAGTTTTTTTATTTTCATATAACCTCATCAACACTTACATTGTACAAATAAGGTTAAATAAATAATACATTTTACCGTGTTGAATGATTAACAACAACTTGTTTCGTTTCAAAATTATTTTCATTTAAACATTTATTGACGCTTTACTACATTCCTTCGATTGTCATGCTATGTTGACATGTAATCTGACATTTAAATTTTTGTGACTCTCTGTACTTTTAAGTATGTACTCCTATATTCGATAGTGTGTTAAGGTAAAAATAGTTGGAACAAATACCATTTGAACGAACATGCAAATACGTAGACTACAAATACACGAAATATCCCTACGAATGTAAATTAGCACAATTGGGTATATTAAACTTAAGGCTGATCCAGAACTACTAGCGGTGTCTGGAAGATTATTGAAATCATGATTTTTTTTCCTGTTATTAAGTCTGTTAATATCTCTATGACATTAACCTCATGTTACTCATGTGCACTGGGCAGGGACAAAAAGGTTGTTTGTAGGGCTAATCATGTTTGTGAGCGCTTAGCCCCTCACAAGAATTCGTGTTTTTCTAAAATAAAAACAAAAAAAACTCTGCTTTCGTAAATAATATGTATATGCTAGAGTCTCTGTTTATGCTATGATTCCAAGTTCTTTAGTTAGACATTCCAAATAATGATAACAATATTGTATGAAGTTGTTTGTATAACAACGTTTTTGTAGCGAAAGAATACAGCATCCGCAACCTCTGGCTCCTTGTAAGGGTTAGACATCCGTGTGCTTCATACATCGTATATTTTAAATGCGCTTTTGAATGCAAAACTGAGCAGCTTTGATCCATTCAAATAAAGTGTCCAGCTTCGATTCATCAGGTTTGCGCGTTATCTCTGTTATGGTAAAGCCCTTACAGAAAAAAATGCGTTAACAAAGTTTTAATTATGGTTTCGCAATTTTCTCATCAAATGTTTTGTTATGATTTCCAATGTGAAGACTGAAACCTCCTCGGATTGTCACTAGGTGAACAGAAAATAAAGTTCAAACGAAAAGAGTTATGCGCTTATCAATATAACAAAAATTAGTATGTATATAAGGCCGTGTTCAAACCGAACATCGCGTACTGTAAACATGTTTACAATAAGTTTCAATGTAATGAACACTGTTTTCACATTACATTTGTTCTCATCTGTACATCGGTTTTATTTACCTGTACATGAGAATTGTTCACATCAGTAAACAATATGTACATGAATTAACATGTACATTACATAGATTTGAATTATAAACTTTTGTGTCAGTTAGGTTCAGTCCATCTCATAATATAAAAAACAAAACAAAACTTTGTTGGGGAGGTGGGATAGATAAATTGTTAAAATTCCGAGTTTTTAAAGGAAAAAAACATATATTTGTTTCAGGAGGAAAGTGAGAAAAAATCGTTTTTCCACTGAAAATTAAGGGCGGGGGACTCAACATGGAGTTTAAAAAAAGTGCTTGAAAAAAGACGTTTGTGCTTTTAATTAAAGTCATAAAGAAATTGTTTGTCCCACGAAGATGAATGGTCGGTACCTTAAGAAAATCGTTCTATTGATTTTGGTGAACTTTGAGAGTTTAAAAGATGTCACCATTGCGCAGCGTAACAAGAAGCGAAAAAGATTTGATAATGATTGATTAATTGATTGTTGGTTGCTTAATATCCAGTGACAAATATTTCATACATGTTCAGGACGAGAACAAATTCACAATAAATACAATAGATAGGTCCTGTAATAGAAGTCGTCTGGGATGAAGATCTGGAAAATTTGAACAGCCATTGGAAAATGAGAGTATTCTAGATTAGAAAATAAATTTTCAGGCCACTTACGGACCCCTCAAAGAGTTTTTGCAAGGGTTCTTAACGTACAGAGAGCATGGCACTCTCTCTACACAAAACGTCTGATTTAACGTCCCCATTCTGATTGTACGTGGCTGCGTACTTGTCACGTACATCCTGCACAGCCAAACAAAAGCCCCACTTTGGTAAGGCTTTTGTGACGATCGAGAAAAGACCTTAGTACCCTTGGGGTGATGCAGGACAAGAAATAGCTGTCTACAAATAGTGAAAATTATTGTCGAGATAAATATCCCATCAGCAAAAAAAAAACCCTTTCCCACTTAAAATCAAATGGTCCCCTATGGCCATTTAAATTAAATCATGTTTTTAACTGATCAGTTTTTGAGTTTTTGTCATGTAAATAGGTAAACAACTTTATCCATAATATTATTATAGTCATTTTATTCAACATATGTTACTTCCTTTAATGATTCATAATAAAATCCACGTTCTTAATATCTAGTTTTATGTACTTAGATGAACGGTAAAAATGAATAAAACAATAATATATCTTCAGCTTAAAAAGAAATTTAATCTTTGTCCGAAATGCCAATTCAATTCTTAACACGATGACAATATTAAAGGTTACAACTTATAAATTCAAGCTGTATATATAACTTATTATATTTATTAATTAGTTGAACAGAAGAAATCGATTGACCGCTCGTGATGCGTAAATGTGTGCAAATTGATCAACAAAGATGATCGATCGTCACCATTCTTTGAACGAGTTGATTTATCGATAATATAAGCATAGAATGAGGGAAGGGATAACACATTTAGATTTCATGTAATAAGATATTGACTAGAAAAAAATGTAATGACGAAAATATCAAACTCAAATGTAAGTCAAAAAGGGGGAAGTCCATAAAATTTGACAAAACCAACGCTCGACTATATCAACCAATAGAATGACTGGACTTCGTATAGAACATATCAATATCCAATGGGTATATGATCGTTCTATGAATCAGGCTGTTTGCATTTTGTTAAATTAGTCCCAGGGCGTCACACTGAAATCAAATCATGTGAATTTGATCGCCAATCAAATTGATATTTACATTTGGCCAATCAGAAAATAAAAACTCAAAATTCATGACTTGTGTATGGTATATATATCGTAATTTGAAAATGAAACAACTTATAGTTCAAAAAGAAACAGAAGTTTTTAGTTTGAGACCTTGCTAAAATGGAGAGTTTTGCACTTTATTGTCTATTGTTTAGTATTGGTAAGTTGTTTATATATATAATTTATATATATCTATTGGTAATCCATGAGCTTGATTGTTTGTAAATACAAATATTAGATATTCAGTTGTTAATTGAAATTATTATTTGTATTTATTTTCAGTTTATTATGTTTTATGATTTTCTTTGGTTTCACATATTCAATAATTTTAAATATGCATAGTCACTGATACCTTTAAGTGCATCTCTAATATTAAAAAAAAATATCAAATTTAGTAAAACACAGGACGAATTTGTGTTTAATACTAATTTCAAAATGTGATATTTTGTATAGTTGCACTTGGTCATGTAAAAGTCAGTGTTGGCTCAGACCATCAGATGGCACAAGCGGCCTGCATGGGTGTGTCCCAGAATACTGCATACGCATCAGCAATACCACGGAATTGTTATGGGGGAAAGACTTGTGAAAGTATTTGTGCAGATGCCACAGCTACAATGAATCAATACTCAACTGCTGGAGGGCCCTTAAGGTATTTTACATTATTAAATATTTGTTGAACATAAATAAACGCATCATACATACCAGGATTGAAATTTTGCACGCTAGACGAACGTTTCGTCTATAAAAGACTCATCAATGACACTCGAATCAAAAAAGTTAAATTGGCCAAATAAAGTACTAAGTAAATGTGATTGCATACTGAACAGCCAATACATTTCTTTGTTTATAATAATATATGAAGCAATGAGCTCATCCAAAACGGATTATGTAAACTTTGATTGCAATTTAATGTATGACATTTATATATATTATAAAATGTAACCATTTCCTGACTTTCTTAAATATAATCAACTTACCAATGATATTCAAAGTACGATATTTTACAATGATAAATTACTGTCAAGTGTTAAAATATATATCTTTTTCAGCACAGCTCGTTGTATTGAAGCTTTTCACATTTACCAAACACGTGGTCAGGAGAACGTACCATATCAACCATATGTAGTGGCATGGAAGTATGGCGTGAAAGGGTGTTTCCAAACCAACTGTGGACCTAACTTCTGCTGTTGTATCGTTTAAACAAAAAGTTTTGGATCCAGAAGAAGAGATGTTGTCGTTATTTTGACGATTATCAATAAAGATATATTTCAAACCAATTCTGGCATTGTTTTTTTAAGTAGAATTGTGTACACCTCAACTTTAAAAACGAAAGAAAAACAGGAGCGTTTTATGATTTGATTAATTAGAATTTGACTGATGTAAACAAGTTTGGTTGTGTTACATCTTACAAAGTCTATCCAATTTATTTTTGCAAAGAATTCCGCTCAAGCCGGTGCTAGGGGCCGTCTTAAACTTTAAGAGACGTGAGAGTTTTTTCGTGTATTTTTGCTGATTTTGTGTTATGGATGGATATCCTATATCCGTTGTTTTTCTATTAGACAAACTTTAACGTATTTATATTAGTAGTAACATACAAGAAGTTACTCGAATAGCTCGCTTTTCCTTAGTGTTTCTAAGTGTCCTATCCTTATTTGTACTTTAAGCTGAACCGGTATTTTTTATGAATAATTTGAATATTCACCGACGATATAAAACCAACATGATTTTTAGGGCGAATATTTTGTTAGAGATCCAATGTGTTTTTGCTTAGTTTAATTTTCAATCGATGTCCACGGTAGAATCGTATCTCATTACCACTGCAGTTTATATACAAAAAGTTCCATGATGCTTAAATGATTGATTGCGTATTACCACATTATACATTTAACCATGAATTACAAGAAATACTGGGCAATACAAGGAATCCCTTCAACAACCAATCCAACCCATTAGACAAAATAAATACATACTGACAAATACACACAACAATGAAAAGCACACACTCCAGATATCGTTCATTGGTTTAAGAATTGAATATTTCTTTTTGCAATTAAATTTGATTGCAAAAATGTTGACCGAAGCAAACTTGCAGATAGCACGGAAATGTCTGCACAATCAACTCTTTTACAACCATATAAAATCATAGGAAGAAAAAAATCACTTTTTACAATATTATAACAATTTTATTCTACAACTTCTAAGGAAATGCCTGTACTGTACCAAGTCAGGAATATGACAGTTGTTTTCCGTTCGTTTGATGTGTTTGAGCTTTTGATTTTGCCATTTGATAAATGACTTTCCGTTTTGAATTTTCCTTTGAGTTAGGTATTTTTGTTATTTTACTTTTCACGATTGTTGTTAGCCAATCAAAAGTACGGATTTGTATGAGATATACATGTTATGGATTATATTTGCACACAGTTTCCCCTACTCTATCTCTACCGTATGCCGTGAACCTAAATCTCACAATACAAATCTGCACGATGGGGCTATCAACAAGATTACCACTTCATTGAACATGTTAATAAAAAGGACATATATTTTGGAGTGAAGAGTTGAAATATGCTCGCTTATAGCTAAGATAAATACAGCTAATGTTGGATACTGCAGATTACGAAAATATACTGAAATTGGTAGTTGTTGATAGAGGCCTATTAATTATAACCATTTTTGCTGAATTAGTGAGTATATCACGCCTATAGCCCCAGATGTTGAATGATGCAAGACATTTTGAATATATTTTTGTTCAGGGTTTGGTTCTTATAAAGACCTTACAATAAATAGGTATGATGATAAATATCATGTAGTGTTGTGCTGTTTTTACGAAAACACATTATATTTATACCAAATAAAATGTCCAGAACAGCTGTAAATTATTTGGAAGGTATTCATTAGCTGTACCATTGTAAACCTGGTAAAGTATCTTTTGTGTTACTGCCTGGTTACAATTATAAAATTCAGTTTAATTATAACTAACAAGAAAAATGGATTTCATTGAAAGTTGTGACAAACATTTATTTAAGTGATCACTTAGGCTTTATTTCAATGATCATTGGTGTTTACATGTTTGGCTTTGAGTGTTTTTTTATAAAAAGCTCTTCGGACGCATACAATTTATTATAATTATTTTTTTTAATTTAATCAGCAAAAATGTTTTTTTTTGAATTTTAAAATAAACCAAATCGGTGAAATGCTTTTTGAAAGCTAACAAATAAGGCGTTCGGGTAAGGAATGGATAAGTTAGAGATTGACAGAGATACATGTTGATTAGGTATTATACTGAGGTTATGCTACTCTTCTCTATTTGTGTCGACTTTAAATAAAAATATATCTCTTTGTATACTTTTGTTTTACATACTTCAAATGTGTGCATGTTGTTGGAAATCAATGTCTCACGTTTAATTATGTTTTGATACGTAGTAATTCACATGTATATGAATACCCAAACCAAGCTTGAAATGATTAATGAATGATTTTTTTCGTTTCCCCCTTTCGTTTTTCACTATCGCTATCTCTGAATAATTTGGGGACAATTATCGCGTTACACATGTTATAAGGGCCCCATGTGTATGTCCTTTCGTTTAAACAACCATTCGTTTCTTATCATAAAAGAATTACCTGAGTTCTTGGCAGCCACGAATAAAACAAATAAATAGTCAACAATGAATAAAACGCTTTACAAGCCTACCCTCCTGTCGGATGATTCAATCATTTGTTTGCCCAGTTGAAAGATATTGCTTGGATACATGTGAGAATGCACTTTTTTTTCAATCGAGATTAACAGTCTCAGGTCTCACGCTGCAAAGTGATCACGCTGTAAGCATTGGCTTGGTTAACGCTAAGCAGACCAAAAACAAATAAATTCAGAGAGTAGGTATACTTGCATTACATATTGTTTGACATGCAATGAACACATTTTTCTTCGAATTATGCTTCGAACTCTTGTCAGTGCTCTTTTCAAAAGCATCGCTTTGCAATTAAATTTGCACTATTTGAGATTTCACTTTATACTATCCGACTTTCTGTTTGATGAAAACGCAATTGACTCGTAACGTTATCCTGAATTTATTTTCAAAGAACAAGAGTAAAGGTTAAGAAGTCACAGTACTGCATCTATACTATGTCGTCTTGTGAAAATGCAACGAATGATTCTTTAATAGTGAGAAGTAGTGTCTTATTTTTGATATATTCATTGAAACAGTTTACTTATTAAAAACGTATTAGTTATGAATATGTTGTTCATTACGTCAATTTTCATTCATTTGTATCACATTGTATTTTATTCTTGAAAGATAGCTTTTTACACTACATGTTTGTTTGATAGAAATCTAGATATTTCCAAACAATGAATATTTGTGATATGAATTTTATTACTTTTTTTAATGAGATGCCAAGTAGTTAATCTTAATTGGAATCACTTCATTGTTCTTTCTGTATGTACTACATATGTTTAATTAAATGCAATACTGTGAATTTACATCTTTTTATTGTTAAATATAATAAATCCGATTGCAAATAATCTATGAGCAAAATTTACAACTGAAAATATGAACATGAGTTTTTATTTCTTAAAAAAATCAAAATAATATCTGAAAAAAGAATAAAAAAATATCGAACTCCAAGGTAAATTCAAAAAAAAGGACTAAATCAAACGTGATACTTTATAAACCAACGGAAAGGATGCAAAACAACTGTCATATTTCAGACTTGGTACAGTATTTAAAGGAAGAAAACGTATGTTAACCCTGATTCAAAAGCTAACTAAACCTCCCACTTGTATGACAGTTGATTATAGTTCTGTTACATTAACAAAATTTGGTGTGTAACCCAAACGGACATAATAATTCAGTGTAAAACCTTGGATCCAGCAGCTAAAACTGTGAAAACGAACATTACAGACAGACAAACACAACTGCCTCAAAAATCTAAACAAACATACAAATAAATTGAACAAAAAGTTTTTTGCAGTTGATAGTACATTCATTTAAAGTATACAGTTTGTCAATAAAACACAAATTAAGTAGATTATACAGACAAGGGAAAACAAATATATAAAAACGTCTGGACCCACCTGCATCAGGATCGTTAAAAGCCCAAAAACCAGATAGCTGGGGCATGAATACAGAGTCACGTCAGGGCTTGCGGTCATAAAACTTTCGAGCACGATTATTGTATTCAGACTCAGAAATCAACCAATCAAAATACTGGATTTGATGTTTCGAGCACATAATTTGTACTCCGAGTACTAAGTAAAGTTTTATGACCGAGGGCCCAGGAGTCACTCGACCAAATCGAACATTATAGCACAGAGACAACTAAAGGGAAAACTGATAACTGAATAAAAAGATATACAACGTCGGCACCTAGAATCTATAACTCAAGACCATATTGATTCATTAATGAAGTAGACACTGAATATTTTTCCTTTGGGTCTTGGTACCTTCCGATAAACTTTATGATGAAAAGGACGAGACGGTCTTTGACAAAAATCTTGATCATAAATCTTTTGCTCAGATACCGAAGACGTTCTACAAAGTTTGAGTAGCAGCTGCAAGCTCTTGCATATCGTATGAGTTAAGAAACGATACCCCATACGCGGGTAAAGTTGGTATATTGCTTCAAAGATGAGGAATATTTGAAATCGTCTCGTTTGTCATAGATTCTGGTACTGAGATGACCGTTGTAGGCAAATTCGAGGTTTATATCTAGCGGCGGAGACGGAGGAAGCTATATCTGTGTTCTCTTTAACCTCTTGTTCAAAAGGATGTATTAATGGGACTTTATCAGAAAGTTTTGGATTGTTAATGGATAGAACATCATCAATATTCTGTATGAGGAATTAAATGATCTAACTTCCTTGATCTTCTAATTTTTACAAGTGTCTGACGGAACTCCGACTAATATGAAAAAAAGAAAATGATTGGTCGGGAAAGGTGCACCGCTGGTTCCTATAGGAATGCCGACAACCTGCTGGAAAATATTACCTCCAAATTCAACAAAAATGTTGTCAATTGAGAACTCCAGCATACTGATCAATTTGTCTTCGGTATAGCATGTTTTATTTTCAGGCTCATTTTTAACAAAATGTGCAGAATCATTATATAAAACAATAAATTTGAAGCGTAACATTTTTTATGGCGGAATGCTTTGTGGATTATTTCTTTTAGACGGGTTTTCAATTTTGCATGTGGTATGGTGGTGTAAAGTGTGGGAAAATTGAAGGTTTTGAAAAAAAAAATCGTCCTGAAGTTCGTTTGAGGTTCTCAAGAAACAGTGT